GGCAGCCGTGTGTTGACTGTGCGTTCACTGCCTGTGTTGACTGTGTGCTTGGTCGCCATGTGTTCACTGTATGCTCAGTCACCATGTGTTCACTGAGTGCTCAGTGGCTGTGTGTTCACTGTGCACTTGGCCGCCATGTGTTCACTGTGTGCGTTCACTGCGTGCTCCATTGCCCTGTGTTCACTGTGTGTGTTCACTGTATGCTCTGTCACCATGTCTTCACTGTGTGCTTGGTGACTAGCCGGGGCCCTGTCTCTGTTTCAGAGCGAATCACTCAGGTGAGGACTGACATCTACGTCACCAGCTTCGGCCCTGTGTCCGACACAGAAATGGTAGGTCCCGGGGCTGGCCCCTACCATAATTTTAAGTAAACAGTGAACGGCTCCCCCAAGGACCTCTTCCACTCGCCATAACCAGTGCCTCCCTTTGCATTAGGAATATACCATAGATGTGTTTTTCCGACAAAGCTGGAAGGATGAAAGGCTTCGGTTCAAAGGACCAATGCAGCGCCTCCCTCTCAACAACCTTCTCGCCAGCAAAATCTGGACCCCGGACACGTTCTTCCACAACGGGAAGAAGTCCATCGCTCACAACATGACAACGCCCAACAAGCTGCTGCGGCTGGAGGATGACGGCACGCTGCTCTACACCATGCGGTAATGAGAACGGGGAGAGGCTCAGTGGGTCTTGGTACGTCCCAGTGGCTGGAGCCCAAGGCCAGGACCTGGCAGCCTGAACCAGGCTAGATTGGGTTTGGGGATTCCATCATATGGAGGGGCACGGATGGCACTGTACTTATGGATGGTGGTGCGTTTTTTACCTTTTGACCTGCCTGTGCTAATGTAGGTTGTTTCCCTGGGCTATTAGAGGTCCATAACTTTGTTATTTATGTTTGTTTGGTTCCAGATCAAGAGCATCTTTGGATTCATGGCCCAGCTAATAGGGAAATTACATTTTACAAATTTATCTCCGGGAAACCCTTTTTGTTGCAGTTGTGCAACCTTTTGAATTTTAAAAGCCCGTTTCTCGTTTGCTCTGATAACGTTCCAATGCTGAGGTTAAATTTAATTATTTTTACTTTAAAATGAACATTAATCATCTTTTATTCTGAATTATTCATTGCCTCTGAGTAAATCAATAAATTGACTGGTGAGAATATCCCTTCTATAGCTTTTCAAAATTTCCATGGTGGGCCTGTGGGGACTTCAGAAAAGATTAAAAAACAAACAAAAGACACTAAAGCCAAGTATGTATGCATGCATTGATGTAAATTATGTGTTATTAGAATTTTCCCCTTATTCTAAAAATAAATAAACTTTAGGTTGAAAATAAGTAACCCTAGTGGAAAATAATATTGATGCTGCCATCTTTGAAGGCTACATTTCTTAACATATGTCTGAAGACCACTTTGGCAAGTGTCCCAGACATGTGACAAGGGATTGGACTCTTCGTATAAAGCCTGATGAGCAGCTCCAAGGAGCAGCCCTGTGGCATCTTGACAGTGGATCCTGGATTGATGCTGTGCTTTGCCCGTAGATGGAGACATGAATGGGGAGCACCAGGTTCCCTGGGCAGCGCCTTCCTAACGTGAAGACACGTTGAGAGGCTGAGAAGAGTGGAAGGGGCTGAAAGGAAGCCCTCGATCATTGTTGTTTTTAGTTGCTGTGGATTGGATTCTGACTCATAGCAACCTCATGTGTGCAGAGTAGAACTGCACTCTAAGGGATTTTCAAGGCTGACATTTTGGAAGCAGATTGCCAGGCCTGTCTTGCAAGGTGCCTCTGGGTGAGTTCACCTGCCAAACTTTCGGCTAGTGGTTGAGCACTTAACCGTTTACACCACCAAAAGGCAGGCAGGGACATGAATCAAATGCAGTGTGCTTAGCTGTGTGGGCAAAGAGAAGGTGTGGAGACAGGGTTCTTGGTCCCAGGCTGTGTCAGGGAACCACACGGGGTTGGCAGGAATAATTGAATTCGGTTATTGTGTGGAATCCAGGTGGGCCTGCCATGTGCCTACATTCTGTTCATACAACAAAAGTACCCTCCGTCCCCATCATGTTATTATCCTTGAATTACACCTGGTTCCTATCCGTAGTTAGGTCCAAAGTCTAAAATATATCATAAAACATAGAGCTTCACTTTCAGAGGACAATGGGATGCTGTCTATCTCCTGGTGCGTTAGTGCTTAAATGGGGTTGAGTGTGGCCCATTGTTTTAGAATGAGGAGAGGCAGGACAGGGGCCTCTCCCTGAGGATCTGTGCACCAGGCATCTTCACCAGCGTCCCTGCCAGCAAAGGAAGTGAGGCTCAGAGGTGTCAGGGAATCCGCTTGGGTCACACAGCTAGGAAGAGGAGCAACAGGAATTTGAGCTTGGGTCTGAGCACTCTCCATGTTTAATCTACCCCAGCTGCAAGTGTGAGGGATGCAGCACTACTAGACGTCCGATGGCCTTGGCGTTACTGTTGTCAAAGTGCCAGGCCCAGGAGGAAGTGTGAGAACAGAGCAAGTTGTCAGTAGGAATTAGCAGTGGTTTATGCTGAGAAAATCTGCTAATGAGCTGCAGAGTTGATAATGAGCCTTTTTTCAGTCCTGTACAACATTTGAAAAGTGGAAATAGTTCCACTTGAAAGTGTTATGAATTAAAATGTAATAACATTTTTACTTATTTAGCAAAGATAGTGAAATGATAATGCTAATTACTAGTGAAAATATTAATTACAAGATGAGTGGCCTACTCTTCCCCCATCACTGAGTGCTTCAGTGGTCCAGCCAGTCTGTGCTGCAGATGGGCCTTGTAACACTGGTGACATATTTTGATCCAGTAATTCCCGTGCAGAATGTGTCTTAAGGAAATGATTAGGAATATGGACTAAGCTTTATGCACAAAGACATCCATTAAGATATCACTTATGATAGCAAATGTGAGAAGGAATATAAAATATAAATTAGGTAGAATTTTCAAATAAAACTACTGTATATATGTATCTTTTTTCCTTTTTTTGGCTCTAGATATAATGTTAATTAGGTCCACTTTTTAAAGATGAATCAAAAAATGTAGAACAAACTTGGATTTGTGTAATATGCCTTTAACCCAAGACGTCCATCTGGAAATGTTTGAAAAAATAAACTTCTAAAGAGTAACCACTTATTATTGTACATAGATAGGATTTATTTATGTTCATTCTCCTCTGTGCTCCAGGAATCATTTAAAGTAGTATTCAAAGATACACACAATTGAGCAAGATGGAACTCTTTAATTAGGTGAATCAAAAGAGGCCAAGAGAAACCAAGCCGTTGGTGACATTTGGTTCCAAAATACCTGCCACATAGTCTTAGGCCCTGGCCTGGGGCCAGCCTACGATTTTAGTTCTGAAGAACTTTCTACTAGCCAGTGAGTCATCCCTTTACAGAGTCTGAAGTCCACTGGCTGCTCAGGAGAAGCCCAACTATTTCTGATTCCAAAGAGAAAAGTAGACATTTTCCTCTGGGTGCTCAAGGAGAGGATACTTTGTAAGGTACTGAGTAGTTTCTTTGACAGTGATCTTTGGTAAACAGAGTGAGTGATGCATTTCAGAGCTGGCCCTAGAGTTGCACTTCAGACATTAGGAAGGTGGCCAGTCACCTCAAAAGGAAACTCAGCCAAGTGGTTCCCAGGGCCTTTCCTTGCTCAAGAGATACAAGTACTGAGTCCAGAGACTGGACCCGATGACCATCAGCTGTGTTCTCTACAGAATGTGAGGCCAGCACTGAGTAGTGTGAGACGATTCCATTCCCTGACACGCACTTCAAGTGGTGATGGGTAGCCTCCTCTAGGCGGCCACGTTTCCCAGGGACCAAACCTTTCTCACCATGTATTTCCTTTATGAGCAAGCAAGTGAGCTGGGAAGCTGTAAGTACCTGCAAACCCTAAAGAAGTGGAGTGAGAACCACACCAGGGGTATCCCCTGTGGATGTTCCCCTGGCTGAAAAGCAAGTCTCCTCCAGGTGTCCTGTGTGGGATACTGAAACAGGCAAGAAAGAACTTACTAGAAGGCAGGGCTTCCCTGTGCATTGCTGCTTCTCTGAAGAAATCTGCAGCTGCTTCCATCCAAGATTCCTTTGCCCGTAGATTCCCGATGTGTGTAATAGAAAGATTCGGGCAAACATTTCAGAATGTTGACAGTTTTACCCTTGTGGGTACCAAAGTCCACTGAACTTAGTAAAACAACACTAGACAAACAGTGCATTGACTAGACACTCTATTCTTTGTCAATTTTGCACAGTGTCTATTCTCTTACATTGTTTTTAGTTTGAAAAAGGCATATTTTTATTTATACTCCTTTAGATTTTCATTATTAGTACAAAACACTACTTTGAACTGAGGAAATATTATGTAGCGAAATGAGCATGGATTTGAGGATTAGGAAAACTTAAGTTTAAGTCCCAACTCTGTTATTTAGTAGTCATGAATCCTTGCTCATTGCACTTTGACCCTGTAGAGCGACTGTTTTTCTTCCAATGCGGTACCACTGGCGGGTCTGAGCTGGTAACGTGCATGTTCCTTGGATGACCACTAGGGGGAAGTGTTGTCACATTTTTCATAGTGGCATAGCGGGCAACACCCACTAAGTGTAATAGTGATTTACTTGAAGGAAAAGATAGCTATATTATATATTATATATATATATTATATATATACACGTACTAGATATTTGTGTGTGCATACTTATATATGTATACATACATATACACATATAAATCCATACCAGTGTCTAGTTAAAAACTTCTTTCATGATACTGCCAGTTATACTGGCTAAATCTTACAATTTTTAGTGGAACATTTATGTTATAATAACAAAAATAAAATTTGATAAAAAGTTTGAAAAACATTGAAAGTTACAAAGCAAAGAACACAGTTATGATAAGACCCAGACCAAAGAAAATCTGTATTCACATTTGGGTGTGTGTCAGGTCCAGTGTTGCTGTGAGTCAGAATCGACCTGAAGACAGCGGGTTTGGTTGGGTTTTTGTCATGTATGTACGTATGCGTGTTGACACATGTATATGTCTATGTGTGTGAGTTGTGTGTGTGTATACAGATGCTCTCATATAGATTCTGAGCAGTCTCTTCTCTGAAAAATGTTTTGTAAGTAACTTTTTAATTTAAAATATATTGAAAATACTGACATTTCCCATGTCATTAAATATCTGTTTGATATCTCATAATGTGTCACATACCCTCATGTGAATATCCTGACTTTGTATAATTCTTTACAGTAAAAATCCATGTTGTTAAGTTTTTTTCTCTGTTGTAAACAACACTATGATCAACATACATGTTTTTATGCAAGCACATAAATACATCCTTAGGATAAGTTCCAAGAATTGGTCAAAAGATAAGGCTTTTGACATATTTCCAAGTTGTCTTCTAGAAAAATGGTACGAATTTCACCCCCATCAACAGTGGGAGGAGAGATTGTCTTGATCGATCACCTCCTTCCTGACACTTTATATCTGAATATAAAGATTAAGCATCAGCTAATTTAGCCAGACAAGGTATAATTAACAATAAATCTGTTCAAAAGAACATATATAACAATTAACTTATCTCAAGATTTGTAGTAACAACAGCCTTATTCGTTCCCCTTGGGAAATACGTCTCACAGGACACCCTTCC